GAATAGTGTCGTGCAAAAGCTCGTCTGGCTTTTAGAAACACAGCGTTTGAGACGATTTTGATTATCAAGTCGTGTGTGATCGTGCTGTGGAACTTCGCCAGGTGTTTGTCGCAGCCGTCGGAAAACATCCAAACCATTCGCCTTCCCAGGATACAGAGCACTGTGAGTTGTGATTGTCGTACATTCGTTTTAGTTTTAAAATCAACATGACTTAACTTTCCTGCTGATGTTTATAATTTCTTGAATTCTGTTCGGACAATTCTTGATCTTGATTCTTCATTGTCCTGGGCACCAGAATTCCGCCGTCGGCTCTGTATGAGACGAGGAGGGCGTCTTTGGATGGGTTCTGATGTGGGTAATTTCGCTTTCGTATTTACTTCTCGCTGTGTTTATGAGACGTGATAGAAGTTCATCCAAACGTTTCATTACTGCTTTATCCAGGAATGGTCCAGATGCCTTCCATTTCTGGTCATCTGGCAAACCACTTAGTGATGCACTCGCAGCACTTAAAACCACCACTTCATGCAAAGCCAAAGTGCTTTGGATTTGGAACACTACTGTAGTCATACTTGTGAACTTAGTGCTGTCATGATGTACTCTCATTACATTTTCGACTATTCAATCACCTGTAGTCCCGTTGATCGTCGAGCCACCCGAGAGGGCGCCATTAAATCTTCCATTTTCCTTGTTGCACGTAAGAGTAGGCCAGTGGATCCTGCTCACTCTAGAGGCTCTTCGAGCATCATATCTTTCTTCTAGGTTTTTCGTGAAAAACTGACCATCGGGTCGGTGATCTTTCTCCAGTGCGTATGACATCCCTCTACCTACGTTCAGAAAGCTTGCAGACCATGTAGATTCGGGGCTATCAGCACGATAACAATCACATCGGTTCCATATTGTGTGCGTTTTCGCACTGTAGTTTTTTACGTTCGATTATTCCATGGGATGACCATGATCCATCACAGTGATTGTTAGAGTGTGAACGGTAATTAGTTATTGGTCAAATATTAAACCTCATGTATTTTCACTATTTCGGCTGAGGACGGGTTCTACTTCATTTTTGAAGAACTGTTCTTCGAGTGAAGACATCAATCTCTCGTGCTTCTCTTGAAGGAATCTCAATGTAGTGAGTGAATCGGATGATGAGGTTGAACCAAGAATGATGGTGTGGTCAGATGGTCAAACTTAGTAGTATAGTGCGAAACCCGTAACTTCGAAAGCAGTAACTCTACGTTGGTTGACAAGCTATTTGACACAAGCTTATGCAGGGGACGGACATATGCGGGCAAGAGAAGGATCTGTCGCAAGAAAAGTGTCGTATAGATGGGGTCATCAGTTCATGTTTTTGGATTGTTAGGCTACCACGACTTAAGATTTATTGAAGTACAATTTCCGCGTTTGGAAAATGTTCTGTTACACCTGAGGTTATCGCAGGAACCGAATTAGAAGAGGTCTTGGTTCAGGCAATGAATAGCATAAATCATTGTTAGTTGTAATAGTTTACAACAGTTTAGAATTACTCACAGCTCTGCAGTAACGCCTGATAGCTTTTACATCAAGAAAACTAGTAAATGGTTTGGCATTCTAGTTTCATCTCATCAGCAAAAGGGTAAAATTTGTCGCTGTAACACTAGAGAAGATCCATTAAAATCAAAGTGAACAATTCGTTGAATTCTTCTAGGTTTAGATAAACTTTGTTCTTATAGTTCTAGTAAAAAAGTATATTCTGATTGCATCCTCTTTTTAGACAAAGTTTCATAGGTCGGAACTGTGTGCTACCATTATAAAGTGTTGTTCAGCGAAGAGCGGGGTACGGCCAATAAAACTTATTTGGGCAATGTTCGGTACAGTTAGCTCTGTGGTAATGTTTGATATTTGGAAAGATTAGTGAATAAGAATTGTTGCCATAGTAATAAAGATATATATTTTTTTAGAAGACCTATTTCAAAGGTGAGACTGCAGTTTGTCGCACTAAAACGACTTCTATCACTGAAAGCTTGAGTCCAAACTGCGATAAAATTATAGCCTTTATGAATCTTAAAGTATCAAAGGATAAAATATTGCTAGACGGCAATGAGTAGTTCACGAACGTGTAAGTTGATAACCTTTTTTACCTACGTTTTTCTACATGACTCGTCATCACTGCTGTGGGGAACCCAGCACTTCTTGCTTTCGATTCGTTTCCTCCTCATCCGCCGTCCACAGTGGTCTTCGAACACTTCGTATGTTGTTTCGGCTGGTGCTTGAGGATTTTTTTTTTTTTTTTTTNCTTCTTGCTTTCGATTCGTTTCCTCCTCATCCGCCGTCCACAGTGGTCTTCGAACACTTCGTATGTTGTTTCGGCTGGTGCTTGAGGATTTTTTTTTTTTTTTTTGCGAATGTGGTAGAATGCTGGTCGAGTCAATTCTCGCATTCTTAGAGATAGCCGTACTGAGGCGTTCCCACGTTGGTGATATTTTTGTTCTCTGTCTTGCTAGTGATATTTTTGGACGTTTACCACTGTTTGTGTGATAAGACTTTCATGAAAGAAAACTTTGCCTTTTGCTTCGTTTATAGCAGTAGTATGAAAGAGTTTGAAGGTGTGAGTTCATTTTTAAAGAGCGGAAACGTGTTATTCGACTGCTTTGAGCTTAAAAATTGATGCACCGAATCATGCTTTTTTCTTCCAGGTACACCTAGAAGGGAGTGAAGACTACGTAGAAATTTGAGAAGGAATTCCTTTGATTTTTGCGAGGAGCTCGTTCGTGAGTTGATGAGATTGCAACATCAGCAGTTGCATTCCGTAAGCACTTAACGATGCCGTTTTTTTTTCCAAATGTTTGGCGTTTTCTTAGTTTTAAAGTGTCTATTATGAGCGAGAGGCAATCAAAAATCGTGAAGAATTTGATGGAATTCGGGGCGTAACTCTCCATGATAACCACATTTCCGAAGAGGTGATGATTCGAATTTTATTAATTTTTCTTTCTTGCTCTTTGCTGTGGTTTTTGCCTATCTGCACTTCCTTATTCCTTGCTCATCTCGTTTTTTCAGTTAGTCCTGATGAGAAAACTGCTAGAAACTAACCACTATTGCAGCGGAAATGCCTCGATAGTACGTAAAAACATGACCTTGATCGAGTACTGATTGTGCGAGGAATGATGGAAATGACAGCAGCCATCCAAAAATGAAATAGGGATATTAACGTGTGGATTGGCTTATAATATTTTGTCATTAGGTTAGTTATTTTCGCTATCTGATGTGCTTTGCTTAAAATCTGTGCACATTTGATATCACATGTGTTGTAGCTGGTGGATACCCTGTATTCATTTTCCATGTATTTTTGGATGCCCTGGCGGCTCACCGAGAGTTGAAATGGCTCACTCATCCACTCCATCGCACGTACGGTTCACTTGGGGCTGGCTTGTTCGAGGCATTAGTTGGTTCTTCTCAGATGTGTTATCTCATCAGTGATTTGTTTCTATGTTATGTCCAGCACTGTATTTTGTATTTCGCAAGATCCCGCTGACAATAAAGTATGTAATTTCAGTAGTGTTGGAAGAGCTCGTTGTATATTTATAACTACTGTTTTAACGGTTTAAGAGACGGTTAGCAATTTTCTCTGGAATGAAAAAGCGGAAGTTGGGTCGAGATTAAATAACTCGACATCATAGCTGGTCGATGGAAAAAACGGAAAACGCGGATGTGTAGGTGATGGAGGTGGACTTTGGCTCGGTTTGTATTCGTTAATTTGAACACTTAATATCGGATTCTCGAACTATTTCATTATTCTTAGTTAGATCTTAATTCTGTTTTAATTCAGAACTTCGTTTCTTCCGATTCGAATAGTCTGTGAAGTAAGAAGTGTTTCAAAGTTTATTTTTTATTTACTACTGATCTCGTGGATGATCACACCACATCTCGAAGGAGCTGAAGTTATAGAGAATAAGTGTGCAAGTTGTTTGGAAGGTGCGTGCAAGCTGCATGGCATCAGACGAAGTTGTCGAACAAAATGTAGCTCTTGCGCGCCAAAACAGTTTATTGACGCTGTTAGTTTCTTTTAGTTTGTTTTTTGTCTTTCAAGCTTTAACCTTGGGAGTTGGTGCACTTATTGTGGAAGGCACTCGCTGTGAAAGAGATTCGATCCCCAGTCTCGTCTATGTGTACAATTGTTCATCTCATATGCGATTTCATATAAGTCCGTAATGGTTAGGGTATGGCAGTTATAGAATTCTGCAAAGAAGATCGAATAAATTAGGGATTGGAAAAGAATTGCTTAGTTATTTTCTTTTCAGATTCCAGTTCAAATGCAGTCATAACGGCGAATTCAGCGGCTTCTATATCTCCGCACTGTGATACACTCAGAACTTATGTTGTAGAATCCTTCCATTGAAGCGACAAACACTCATAGATGCTGGTCAAGACGGCAAAACGTTAATAATTACTATGGGGACCTTTTGGTATTTCTTGTATGGCAGTTATCGATTCTTATAAAACTTGCTCATCCCCGGTGTACATTGGGATTCAAAGGCCCCATCACTAAACCTTTATAGTATTTATGAGCCCAAAGGTGACGAACCGTGTTCTTTTTCCCCGATTATTCCAGAAAGTTTCTTGAGCACTACGTAGTTTTCATTTGTTAATGAATTCCGTCTATTTAAATAGCTGATTTCAGGATGTGTTGATCGAAAACTCTGAGATGCTGTTACTAGTGAGAGGACATGTCTTTACTAAATATGTGGTAATGGAATTAAAATCTGATCGTGTATAATCAATGTGCACTCCCTACTTCTTCAACTTAATTGACCCAGACTCTTCAAATCGTCTAAGCATAACGCCGCTTTTATTTCGTTTCGCCCAAAATCCCTCCTATTTCATGGTTTTTCAAGGAAAAAGTCTGCACTTTGCCGTTTGTGTGTGTATTGACTAGGGGAGCAGCGTGAGGACCTGACGCGCTGCTATATTAGAGGCGTTCGTGGTGTGTTTCTCATACGACTGCTGTCTGCAATTTTGCGATTACGACAATGTCTGAACGTGAAAAAGGAGGCAAAGGACGAGGTAGAGGAGGCGCTAAACGCCATCGTCAAGTGTTCGAGAACAGCATGCAAGGGATCACCAAGCAGGCAATTTGTCGTTTGGCTCGTCGCGCTGGAGTGATGCGCATCTCAGGGCTTGCATATGAAGAAATTCGGGAAGTTCTGAAGGTGTTCCTCAACAACGTGATACGTGATGCGATGATCCACTGTGTACAGGCGAGGAGAAAGACCGTAACGGCTGTGGATGTGGGCTATGCTCTGAAGCGCCGTGGGCTTACGCTGAACTGTTTCGGAGGATAGGACATATTACATCGATAAATCTGAACCCAACGGCCCTCTTTAGGGCCACATAAGGTGCAAATGAAAGTGGTCTTTGTTAATGTGTTTTAACAGCTTGATAAGATAAAGGTTATTCCCGAAAATATCTGGATGTTATACACTCTAAAAGCTGTCTTACAGTAAAGTGGGGGCAAGAAGTTGAATTGTGCACACTAAGTGCCTTCTCTAGCAGTAATGGTTTTGTTGTGCTGATAGAGTCCGCCAAAGCAGTCGAACAGTCACGTGATTTGCTTACAAAAATTCGTATGCCGCCACTTTATTCGAAGCATGAAGTGTTCAGTTTAGCCTACTTCATAAGGCATCTTACGAACTACGTAGCATTTACACTCTATCTTCATTAATGGCTACCACCATCCAATTTGTGTGTGTGTGTGTGTGTATGTGTGTGCATGTATGTGTGTATGTATGTGTGGATGTACGTGTGTGTGTGTGTGTGTGTGTGTGTGTGTGTGTGTGTGTGGTTGTGGGTATGCATGTGTGTGTTTGTGTGTGTATGTATGTGTGTGCATGAGTGTGCATGTATGTGTGTATGCATGTGTGGATGTATGTATGTGTGTGTGCGTGCGTGCGTGTGTGTGTGTCGATTTTCACACCTATATTATCCTATTCCAACGTTCGCATGACGTTTTGCAGGGTGGCGATAAATAATTTTGGCGAGATGGTATCGCCTTGCCTTACTGCTCTTTTGACGTCAATGTTAATATCGTTGTAGAATGGTGACGCCTTGGTTGTGAAATTTTTGTGCAGCTCACGGAGAATCTTTATGTACTGAGTAGGGACTCCTTGACTATCAAGGGCTTCCATGACTATTTCTATCTCAGTTGAATCAAGAGACTTCTGTAGATCGATGGAAGTGAGACAGAGCTGTCTTTTGTACTCTCGTGATACTTCAATGAGTCTTGTTATCGTGTCGATGTTGTCCATCGCACTAAATCCTTTTCGAAACCCTGCTTGGTCACATGGCTGTTCCTCGCCCAACGTTCTGCCAAACCTGTTTAGGATGAATCGAGTGAAAGGTTTGTAGACGGTAGGCAGCAGGCAGATTGGGGGATAGTTGCCGATATCGTGGAATTCATCCTTCTTGAGCATTAGCACGGTCTCTTTGGTCTTACATTGAATAGGGACCTTGCTGTCAGACAGGTAACGTGTGAAGAGCCTAGCCAGTGTGTTTATGAGGACTAAGGAAAGGTTCTTCAGGTGTTCGGGTGTTATCCTATCCAACCTGGAGCTGTTCGATTTCTCACCGACGAAATGGCATGTTGCGTTTCGGAAGGAAGAACCGGTGATACAACATATCCATCCTCCTTTGTTTCGTATGACGGAAGGTGGACGTGGCTATCGAATAGATCTGAGCGGTATTAGCGAGTGATTTTCTCCATTGCCTTTCTGGACGCTGTTGCTGTTCCGTCAGGGCGCCGGAGTGCAATGATCTTGGTCTTGTAACTGGTGAAGCTTCGGTGGGCTTTGCTAATGCTTTTCCCAGCCTCTGCAGCTTCAGCCATTACTGCTGTTCTTCTCTTTTTAAGATCTTTTTTTATCGCCTGTCTGCATTGTTTTTCATGTTCGGACGTCAGTTCACGGCTTCCTGCAGCCCGTGCGATTCCACGCTAGCGTATCAGCTCGAGTGTTTCTGGAGACAGACGTCTCCTGGTGAATTTCGTGCTTTCAGCTTTCACAGAGCTAGCGTGGGGATGCTGAATGAGCAGATCGCATTCTTTGTCGATGTTATCGACAGCAGTATCTTCCCCAACAGCCGACTAATGAATTGAATAAGTCCCAGTTTACGGTGGTTCTGGGACTTCGGTTTTGGAACATAGCGGCTTTTTCTCCTTTTCGCGAGAAAGAGAATCTCGCACGAAGGAGACGGTGGTCTGATGCCGTGTAGAAATTTGGGACGAAGCGACAACGGTTAGGCAAAGCCTTCTATTTATTATGATGTGTTCTATTTCGTTATGGTACTCTCCATTGGGAGACTCCAACGTCTAGCGCTGAGGGTGGAGCTTCTGAAATTCCGGGTTACTATGGATTGTCTTGGTCACCATGATAATCTCAGAAAGCCGGTCACTCTGTTCGTTCCATTCCAATCTATGGGTCCTAATGTGACGTTCTTCAGACGTTCTTCTTGTTCCAATCTTGGCGTTGAAATCTCCAATAATCCCTTGAAGAATGTGTGGTCTTCTCTGTGGAACATTTCCAAGTCTATATAGAACGCTTCGACTTCTTCTTCGTCATAATTTGATGTCGGCGCGTAAACGACGAAGATTGTCAAAGCCGAAATTGATCCACATCTTCTTAATCGTAGACGACCGATTCGGATTGTAAGTTGTTCGAATAAATCGATGTTCATGGACAAACTCGTGTTCGCGAGAACCCCGACGCCGCCGACTCTTCTACTGTCACATTTTCCGAGGAGCAGTTCTACTCCGGTGTCATAGACGGCGTTGAAAGGCTGGCGTCTCCTTGTCTTGGCCAGGTCGATGACGTCGTATCTTCTCTTTCTTGCTTGCATGAGCAAGTCTTCTATCAAGGACTCGGATGCAAATGTGGGTGCATTGTAGTTACAGATCGTCACCATAGTTCTTTGTAATCCAGGCAGCTTCTATTAGCGCCGAGATTTTTGCAGCCTCTCCGTGCTCGTCCTACCCAACGCTCTCGAATTGGGGGCTTTTTCGGGATCAGAAGAATGAGGCCCCTTTTTTTTTTACTGTGTTTAGTATTTTGATACCCACGTATAGCTTGCTGGGCTCTGAACGTGGGCTGGGTATACTCACGGGTAGCTTGCCAGGCTCTCCCAGAGGGGACGTGGAACTTATTTGTTGAAGGCGACTCCTAACCGCCCGTCATATATTTCGCTGTCACTTGACTGCAGACTCCTGCCCAAATTGACTCGTAGAATACTACCCGCATAAGCGAGAACACACCTACACACGCATGCATGAATACGCCTCGTAAATAGGGAAAATATATGCCTAATCAGCGCAGCAGAAACGGGACTCCATTCTGGATCCACCTGCGTCTCAGGGAAGCAAACGTTGCATTTGGTCCGCGATTAACGCCCTGTCCCCACCTGGGGACGCGCCACATAGCCTCGCGACTAACTGGCTCGAGATCCTTCATATGAGGAACCTCCGTGGCATGACGGGGATTGCGACCAAAAAAACCATGGCGATCGTCGTTGAAGTAGTGTTAACCTTTTATTTTGCGCCTGGTATATTTTTTGACGGCAGAGTGTGATGTAAAATACAGCCACAACAATGCTGAGATATTCACAAAACTTGGGCACCTGGCCAGATTGAACCACGATTACCCTTTCCGGGGCTTCGCGTTAAATAAGCTATGTTAGCTAAATTAACATTGTAATTTCGACTACAACCTCAGATCAGCTAGGTTCAAAGCCGATCTGTGCTCGCCAGATCAATCCCGGTGACGGGTGATTGCTGGTGGCAGCGCTAGGTAGAAAACTAGCTGTGAGAAACGCAAAGTAAGGGCTTCAGTGGCGCATCGTGTAATACGCGATCCCTCAGAAAGGGTAATCGATGTTCGATCTGGCTGGAGATCCAAGTTTTGCGTATATCTCAGGTTCTTTGTGGTCCTGTTGTGATACTATTAACTTTAAGTGCATTTAGTGCAACTGTTAGGTAGCACAGCGTATTCATCAGATGGTTACATCACTATATAAGAAACTTAAGGCTGTTAATTAATGACTCTTCACGTCTTGACTGGTGCGCTGTGAAAGGTGTATCGCGCACCAAAAGTGACTATAAAACCAACGTGTATTTTTGTAATGGCCTACGTTGAGCAGTACCACGCTATCTGCCAAACTGCGGAAGTTTACATTTTCATTTTACAGAAACGGTCATCATTCTGGAAGAATCGGAGTTGAAAGATAGCAATCTTTTGCCTGCTCCGGCAATGCGTGGAACTGCTTCCGATTATATTCTGGGAGTGCGGTTTTCTAGGAAAAAGTTCCCAGCATGTCAATAGGACCAGAACTCCAAAAATCCTCAAATTCCACACCAATTTAAGCTCGATCCCGACTTCCTTCGCGGACTACGTCTGCAAGAGAACGAAGTGAACGAAAAATTTCTGAGAAACGTAGGCCACATGGAGACAAGTCATTTATATAAGGGTGTACATACACGCTTCGAGAGCAATTCACCACTTGGTCCCAGGGTGTTTCTTCCACACGTTCGATTCTGTCGCAACTATCTTTTAAAGGGCAGGCTCAATTGTGTTTTGTATGCAATTTAAGGATCTGTGATCTCCTCTGTTCTTCAGATTGTTAAATAGCACGGAAACGCGCTTTTTGCTAAAATTCCATGAGAGTTATACTAGATCACTCCCAATTATTCACAAGAAATAAACGACCGCTGTGCACTGCATAGAAGTTCTTCTATTGGAACTAAAAATCACCCAAGACTACAACGCTTCATGCAACCAGTTGGCCTTCTAACTCAGCTTTCCTTTATCATCATAGTAGCTCATTAAATCTGGATTGTTCCTTTTTCCGTGACGATTTCCAAGGCAAGTGCTCAGTGCGGAAAACTTTATTGGGCGCTTTAAAAATATCTACCTTTAGAATGGACGCCATTGTACAAACAAATGCGCGTTAAAAAGGCATGGAAATAGCAGAAGTGCTACTAGACACCACTTTTATAGTATGAGATCAGTCATACACTCCTCTTTAAATTGCCTCACAATAGACTATTGAGAAATCGAAACCACTGAACAACACTGGTCGTATGTTGCACAACCATAGTGGATACAACGGCGAGCACGATGGCCATGAAGGTCAGAGCACTGTGGAACACCAAAGGACTCTGAAATTTGCCCCAGATAAGATCATATAAGGCTAAAATCTAGTGCACTGATGTTAGAAACAAGAATTAGTGTAAAAACATTAGTGTTGTATACCAATTTGTGGTACCAGTTTACCGAACCTGGAGAGATGGAAGGATTGATGATTCTCGGGTGTGGGGATCGATCCTATGTGTATTGCACTGCGCCTCCGATCAGTGCGTCATTTGGTTTCTTTCTAAGGATTTTGGTCCCCATCAAGAATGCTATTCAGTCCTGGTTCAGTGGATTCTCCTTACAATCCAAAAATAATCGTTCTTAGCTGTTTCCATCCCTCAATCACAAACGGTATCTATCTTTTCTTGATTAGAGCGGAAAGCCTACGAAGAAATCTGGTACCGTTTTCCTGAACCCGGAATGGAGGCCTATATAGTCAGGAGTGGAGCAGGGTCTTGACATTTTACCTATTAAACGGTATCACTAACTCTGCTTCACTTGTCCCTATATTTACAAATTTACCAACATATACACACATGTTTTGTCTGTATACGCATATATATGCACGCATATATATATGTATTTATACATGCGTATATTTATGTATATTACTGCTTCGAAAGTCTTCCCAGAAATTTATTAAAACTCTAAGAACTTTTACACTTAACCTTGTTTTACCTCGCTTTTTTCAGACATTTTTTGAACTTGCTCTCTTGGTGAGTTCTGAGCGACACATGGCGGTGTTGTTTTGGAACGCGGTTGAGCCTCACCCTGTTGTGATGGTGGCGGCGGTGGAGGCGGTGGCTGTAGTGGAGAACAAGGAGCTGGATATAGTGGAACTGCACCTGGAGGCCCTATTCCTAGAGGTTGTGCATCACCAAGTGGACCTAGATGCTCGTATTCGTCGCTCATTCACTGCTTTATTGCAAACCTGTAATTTAATTAAAAATGAAAAACATGTTGTTTCTACACGTGCTATTTCTCAAACCCACCGATTTTTGCCTACTATCCGGTGACTCACGCTACTAAAAATGGGTTGTACTTCCCGGTATTCCTTTAATGATAATTATCTAATCCAGAGAACAGATGCAAACACCTGAACTATGAGTAGAACTCGATATGCGGAAGCAGTGAAGAGGCGAAACTTATTCTTTTTCAATCGATGTCAAGACTTCTTACACCGAATTCTTCCGTTCCGCATAAGCATTCGCGATTTCTTCTCGCATAAATCAGCTATAAATGAATCCTATGAATCGAAAAGGTCCATGCATGGAAACAGCAGAGTACTCCCATCAGTACCTGAACGGTTCTTGCAAAGCAGTCAGTTTTAGGGTCCTAAATTCTTGTTAAGACGCACCACAGAAATAGGGGGGTTAAAAACATCATGCGAAGGAGAAATAAGTCAGAGTGGTATAAGAGGAAAAGGTTATCCACTGGATACAGGGGGCGGATCAGGCGGTCCCCGATTTACCGGCGGACCTCTAAAGCTTCCTGGGACTGGTGATATTGGAGATTGTCATTCATTTGGAGTGGTACGAACTGGACGAGATACAGGAAGAGACGGTGCTGACAAACAACTAGAAGAAAAGCGTGCAAGCACACCTAAATCAGTATGCATGTCCAGTTACAATGCTCGTGAACTTCTCAGAATGTTGGGAAGAATTCTTACCCATAATCACTTGGTGGAAGTGGACAAAAGTTGTCTCTAAGCAATCAAATATCGTTACCATCATCCTTACCGTCACTGTTAATAGGAAAGCCATTGAACAGGGTGTGTTGATCTTCATCTGTAGAGATCACGTCACTAAAATTTAAATTCTTGATGTATGGACATATTGCATCACCGCTTCTCCCTTCCCAAATCCTACATACCTTTTCGGCGGTGAGAAACCGAACAGCCCCAGATCCGGATAGGATGATGAGACCAGAACACCTGAAGAACCTTCCGCCAGTCCTCGTAAACACACTGGCTCCGCTCTTCACACGTTACCTGTCTGAATGCAAGGTCCCTACTCAGTGGAAGACCAGCAGGACCGTATTTTTGTTCAAGAAGGGGGACCTGCACGATATCGGCAACTATCCCCAAATCTGCTTACTGTCTGTTGTCTACAAACTTTTCACTCGAGTCATCCTAAACATGATTGACAGAACACTGGACGAAAGACGTGAGCAAGCAGTGTTTCGAAATGGATATAGTACGATTGACCACATCCACACGATAACAACAGTCAATGAAATATCGCGAGAGTACAAAAGACCGCTCCCTCTCACTTCCATCGGTTTACAGAAGGCCTTTGATTCAGCTGAGATGGAAGCAGTCTGGGAAGCCCTTGATAATCAAGGAGTCCCTACTCAGTACATAAAGATTCTTCGTGAGCTGTACAAAAATTTCACAACCAAGGTATCACCATTCTACAACGATATTAACATTGACGTCAAAAGAGGAGTTAGGCAAGGCGAAACCATCTCGCTAAAATTATTTATCGCCGCCCTCCAGAACGTCATGCGAACATTGGAATGGAGAAATATGGGAGTGAAAATAGACGGTCGGCAGTTACACTATCTTCGCTTGGCTGATGACATCATCCTTATAACAACAAGTATTAGCCAAGCGTAACGTATGCTTGGCGACTTTGATAGAGCCTGTGGAAAGATTGGTCTTCGACTAAATCTCACAAAAACGATGTTCATGAGGAACGGATTGGTTTCGCATGCCCCATTCACGCTCAACGAAACGTACATCTCTAAATGCTCCAGTTATATCTATCTAGGTCGGGAAATCAATATGATGAACGACCTAGGTCCAAAGTTGGGCCGAAGGGAACGAGCGGCTTGGGGAGCTTTCAAGAGCGTCGAGGATGTAGTGAAGAAAGCAAAGAACAACCGACTCCGTGCCCACCTTTTCGACTCAACGATACTTCCTGCCCTAACGTTTGCGACAGAAACCTGGTCGCTGTGTAAGCAGGTTGAAAGGTCACGTCAGCGTTATCGAACGCCCAGTCGAGAGGACGTTGCTAGGAGTATCGCGTTCCACACAAGTAAGGGATGGGATCCGAAGTTCCGATCTGCGTCAACGAACAAAAATCAAAGATGCCGCTCTATGCGCCAAACAGTCGAAGATAAGGTGAGCCGGAAACGTAATGCATGGCAACCGATGGACAAGAGCCGTACCTGACTGGATTCCTCGGGATGTCAAACGAACTGCAGGAAGACCACCGACCCGATAGTCAGAGTTCTTCACAAAGGGCCTTGAAGAAAGATATGATTCTCGACGAGTCCCTAAAGCGAGCAAAACCCACTGGGCTACTCTTGCACACGACAGGAAAAAATGTAGGATTTACTGGCGCCCGCTCGAGTCACTGGACGATCATCGAAACTACAGGTGATGCAGGTGATACGTGTCCGGTTCATCTTATCTTCGAAAGTTTAGAGCATAGAACGAAGTTTTCAATTTTTGACCATTGACGCAAGTCGGAGCATCAGATCCCTTCCCTTAAATGCGCTTCATATAAAATCTTATATATGTATATATATATATACATATACACACACATTTGTATGCAAATGTGCTTACGCAGTCTTGGAAATATATGCGCATATATATAAATATATATATATATATACCAAAATAATACAAAAAGGTGGTGCAGCGCTTCTTAGTTTTCTTGTGCACATGAGTATCAAACCATTTGGTCTCTTGTATCAACGTTGCATCGATAAACCATGGTTATTGTAGAGGGTTAAAAGACATACCTTAGCATTAATGATCAGCCAATCGTAGCGCAAAGTTTTTCTATAAAACTCTTAAGGTACGATCTCCTGAAGTGCACTATCTGTTAAAAAACTGCGGAAAGACATCGAAGAAAAGGCACAGCGCTCACTGTGCAGCACTATTTTGACGAGGAATTGGTTGTTTTCTATTTCACAGCCGCTATAATGAGTCTGAGATACTGCATGGAATAATAGAATTTTAAAACCACAAAGTAGACATCGTAGTATTTTTTGTACAAACTGCACTACTTCATTAAATGCTGGCAGCGCCATGCGACATAGTGGGTGATTTTTCTTTCACCACTCGCAAGATGCGTACATGATCAGGTAAAATTGTAGCATAAGGAGAAGACCACACACAGTATACGTAGAAAATAGCAAGGCAAAAAAATATATGACGGAACTGAAAAATAGATTGACGGTCTCGAAAAAACGGTGGGCTGTGCCCTTTGCGCGAGACCACGGGCTGTATATTGTGATTTCAATGCGCATTCCGGTTATGCTCAAATAACACGCCGTTGGAAGGGCTGGATGGACTAGCGACGAACGGCCATGAATGAGTCAGGAGACAGCTCCTCCTAAAAGGATGTACTAATGTGTTGACAGCTTACGCTGAAATTTAAAGCCCGAAACACTACGAGACAGTACGAGGCAAATTTCTTTGCCAAAGAAATGACCAATGAACCCAGAGTGTAAGACGGAAAACCTAATTTGGAATAAACAACGAATAGCTTCTTTTTAAGCTAAAGTACACACGCACCTAAGCCCAAACATAACCCCTGGCTTAAGCCTAGGCCTAAGCCTAAGGCTAAGTCCCAAACAGAATATCAATGAGAAGAGCAGTAAACAGACACTATCCAGTCTCAACCTTTTTATTTGCTGCCTATTCTTTTTAACGGCATGGTACGTTGCGAGCTATAACTTTTATATTGCTGAGATATTTGCAAAAGTCCGGACCGCATTTGTCTGCTGTAGGGAACGAACGCGGTATTGTCTTTACCGGAGAGTAACGTTCTCGCCACCTCACCATGCGGGTTCTTCGTTTCGCTTGCCTCTCAGGTAGTTCTATCGATCTTTTACCATCAGCAATCACACGTCAACCGAATTGATCTAGAGAGTCCAAATCGGCATTGAACCCAGTTAAGCTGAGGCTATATAATCACTATCTTAACCTTTTTATTTGAACAAAGGACTCGTATGGTGTAGTGGTGAACGCGTTACTCCTCGGAAAAGACAATACCGTGTTCGTTTCCTACCGGAGACTCCTGCGGTCTAGAGTTTTACAAATATCTCAGCATTATAGATATTGTCCAGTCTTTTAAATTTAATCAGAACATATTTCATTGATACGTTCCAAAGGTTTGCCGCCTCATCGTGACAAGGAGCTGTTCCTGGGTGTCGGGCTGCAATGCACACCGGTGGATTCATCCCTTGGCAGAGTCTCCCAATCTGAGAAGGAGTCTTGGCGTTTCGATCAGGAAGCCTAGCTTAGAGTAAATGAGTACCAGGATTCACCATTGTCCTGGTATGAAAGTCGCATGGAAACAAATCTCCCTCTGATCCTCAAGGGCTGCGATAACCTGTGGTGGTGAAGACCTGGGGCAGATTTTGGCCAGGGCAAACTCGGGATTCCAAGGAATCACAATGGCTTAACTAGTAAATCTCCGAAAATGGTGATGATGCTGGGTTCCGCACAATCAGTGAGGACGGGCCGGTCAAGTATCAAGTGTCAAGTATATTTCATTGATTAAAAAACCTCATTGGCAGTTTTATTAGGCAAATACCGCACAGAACATGTTGAATTTGAAAAGTAATTTTTTTTCTTAAGAAGAGCTGGCTACATGCAAGCGTACAGCAGACCAAGACACGAGATAGTGAAGAAATGCAAAATACGTTCAGAAATGAATTAATGGTAATTATTCGCTAGACGAAACGAAAAGCCACCTCATTAATGACTGGAAAATGCAGATTTTATACCGGTATTACGAGAATGCTAATAAAGAGAGTCGATAGCACTTTCTATGGCATATTGCACTTTTGTTATGGCCAGCTCAAGTTGATGTAGGTGTGTTTCATTGCTTGTTAGTTGATAAGCTATGGCTGGATCGAGAATACTGGAGAATGAAGTGAAACGTGATGAATGTTTAGACGGTGAGAAAACTAAGTGACGATAGTACGGAGTGGAGACGTCTATCGAATCCAGAAACGAACGTTCGGTATACTGTAGGCGAGTATTGATTGAATCCAGATGTTGGATAGATACATCAATTAGGCCACTCGTGATATCCTAAATACGTTAAGTCGATAGTAGATTTGACAAGATGTGGTATTGATAGCATGTGGGAACTCAAAAAAACAGCTTTTATCCACTCACGATATGTTTTCAAACATTAACATGAAAGTGTCTCAGCGCTTAGTTTCACCTACTAGCTGAATAGGAGCAACCGTCTGTGATGTAACGTTAAGTATTTTCATATATTTCTTGTTACTATGGCGGTATCACTCTATTACATAACCTTATTCCATGCAGTCATGTAGGCGATCGCGTGATCCGAAAGGGAAACCCAAGCATCGAACAGTTAGTTAGCAGTTATTAGTTAGCATATATAAAGTAGAAAAAAAAATTAGGGAATGAGAGAAGTAAGACTGTGATTTTTGCTCATGAAGCTATTCATTATTCGCGCCAAGATTGACGATAGCCAGTTTTGAGAGCTATTGATTTGCTACGCGCTGACTGGTAGAGCAGCGACTACTACAGGATGCGTTGTCACCTTAAGAACCGATCAGCACACCGTATTGGATGGATGCAAACTAACAACAGATCTATAAAAAAGCTCCGCAGAATGATATATCTCGTTAGGAGGGTTCTTCACTCCGGAATTTCGAGTTGATGAGACATCGAGGACCCACAGCACGTGGATACCGCTGTAGACAGCAGACTTGAGTAAATCCGCTATTAAAGAAGACGAAGACGTCGAAACGTTAGCCGAGTGAAACTTATAAAACCTGGTCTTCGCTTAATCATCAAAGAAAACACACTGTGTCTTCTTACTGACATTTGGGAAAGGAGCCCATAACTCATTTTTTTAAGACAGTGCAGTTCTTTTCTAAAACCATCAATGAACCAAATTGTCGAGGAAAGTCAACGTGGTGGTTAAAAAAAAGCAATTTTAATGCTACCATGCAAGCGAGAGGAAACACTAATCATTACAATCGCGAAAGTCCTAGTAAAAACTACAACTGCACACTTGGTGGCTACTAGATCGAATAAACAATCATTCTTAGATGAAGTTGCTTGGACTTGCTCCTTTAAAACCACTGTGCAATCATAAAGCGACCTGAATTATGAAGAATATCCAAAATTCCTTGCCCGTAACAATGCCAGTCATAGAAGATTGCTGCCACTGCTAAGAGACATGAATTCAAACTAACGTAAAGCAGGAATGGATCACGATAAGTTGAAAGTATAGAAAATATTCTCTACTTGATGTAGAGTATTATCTATATGTGCCTACTATTACTACTGTTCTTAATTCAGCTGGCTATCCTTTCATGTAGTACTCTCATCCTGTGTATAACTGGAACCACTTGGCTTTTGCCGTTTGAATCCGCCTAGACATGTTTTAGGCTATCCTACTTTTCCATGAGATTATATCCACACCGGTCATCCATCAATGATTGACTTCATCGATATTGTAACCTCCTAGAACTATCCATTCTGTCGTACGGTGAAGAAGGTTCAAGGTGCTCTATCTACAACTCTACCACCTACAATTAGCTGTAGTGCCACTCAAGCCAAATTATCCTCTCGATATCGTTGCTCTTAAGACATTTTTCCCAGCACCTTTTCTTGGTTTAGTTGGATTTGTGTGATATGCTGGCTCAATAAGTCCATCAATGAAATGAATCAAATCCTCTGCTTCACAGCTTATGTTAAGCTTTACTCTTTCCACTGTCTCTACGTATTGATTGTGTTAATGATCTATTGTTTCGATGTATACATGTTTAAACGATAAATTAGCCAATTTCAAAGCTTGTGTAGCAGCACTACCATTGGTCCACTGTGGCAAGTCATAGGAAGACTAAGCATTCCTTTGTCGTATTAGCCGCTGCAATTGGAATCGTTGAAGAACTCTTCAATGCTAAAACTCGACTAATTTTTTTGGACAAGGGATGTAGACAATTAAACCACTGAATTCTTGGTGACACACACAACCAGTGCTAGATGGTCGTTCATGATACAGCGTTATGTTGTGATCTCACTGCTTGTAGATCACTTGAAAGACATCGAAACATCGTGATGGTAATGGTTGTTTGTTGAAATAAGAAAAAATTCATGACATGCAATAGGAGTGAATTACACAAGAAAATCATTCATAGGTCTAGACTGGCATACTTAGATTCACAGCTATTCCGTAAATGATTATCATTGGACAGAATGAGCAACTATATTTGAATATTAAAAGATCGAAAAAAAACCAGCTAACCTGAGCTTCCAGCTGTATTTTTCGACAAGCGCTCTGAAAACGTCGTAGGGCAACTTTTAAACTATTTAATTTATGTGGCAGCCATGGAGCGGCTTTCCTTAGATCCATTTTCGAAAGGAGAACTTCGGCTTTTCGAAAGAGAGATATTAACGATTGTGCGTAATCCAGTACATTAAACGGTATGACCTGAATAATAAATTCGAATATGGAAAGGAAAAAAGGAGTTGAAAAAATGAGAAAGATGTGACCCTAGGCTTAATTTCGTTAGTTCGTACATAACCGTTTCAATATGCGTTCTTTCAATAATAGGCTATTCGATACGATGACGAAGAAACTACGTCGAGAGTAGCCAACCACTGTGAACTATCTACTCGGGTCATCGACTCTGATAGACGAAGTCGAAAAATTGAACGAATAAACATTTTTAAGAACTACATTTTAGCTTATCAGTGGAAGAACACAAATTGTCTGACTGCGCCGAGATTAAAGGGATAACCAGTTTCGAAACACTGATTTCGCATACTATTTAGACGGCACGTGCAGCACAGTGGGTGTGAGCGCTCCGTAATAGTCCCCTTGTCGTTAAGTCTATTACGCAACGCACTGGGTTAGCATGCCTTCCATCTCAGCGAAGTCAACGTATTGGCAACGTAACTGTTTCGGAGAATAAAAAGATGCTCATCACCAGGCCACTATAAGTCATTGTATAAGCTGTATCAAAGCTCCTATACGACGATACCAATGGATTGGAATGTGCAGGTTATCCTAACGGACTAACACAAGTCAGACATTTCAAGAATAGAGAGCTTCATTGCTTCACAGTTTTAAAACCAGCTATTTTTTCCTCAGCTCATTTAATACACTTTATATTCCAATTGTCTCTTAACAATTCGTTTTTTCGGATGATAAAGCCTAATCAAGTCGAAAAGAGAAATGAGACCTACGAATAGGTGATTTTTTTCACATTTCATATAGTTTGAAAGTGAAGACTCGTATCTGTCTTAGAGCGTAGTAACGATGTCGAATAGCTATAAATCAATCGCCAGAGTTCATCAGGCGTTTTTCAGTGCAGTTCATCCATTAACACTAATTAGAAAGATAAAGTAACAGGTAATTAAAGAATAATTCACGAGACTATTAGCCAATCGGTGAACAATTTCTATCCACAACTGCCCGATCGACGTAAACGATGAAAAGCTTGGATCAATTAGATTTTCAACCGCCCATGGAGTCTCGTACCTGAATAATAGCTGATGGCACTCTCTATACTGGATCCCAGTTTTTCTCCTCATTTGCTTATTTGGTAATTAATTAATAGTGGAAACAAAAACAAACATCGTATGGTACAACGCGTATGACTGCCCAGGCCTTGGCTCCAATTTTAGATCAGCGGCTGGAATGCCAGCAAACGTGATAAATCTCTGAAATTTTCCACTTTACTTACGAACTGCACATAATGATATTCGAAAAATTTCTTGGTTTGTACTACAACAGTAATCGCTGGGCTAAAAGCAAGGATTAATATTTCAAATATGCGAGTTCTTAGCAACATTAAGTATTGCTTGCCAGAGAGTTTCTTAATTCTTGCCATCATTCTCGAATTTCCAAAATTTTCGCGAGCTTCTAAGACCTTTTAAACCTTTATCTTTTTGTCGTTTTATCTTTTCGAAGTCATTTGAATTTTTTCACATGATTATCCAGTTAACAGGTCTTTATAGTTGCTGAATGAACAAACAAACCTGTAAGGAACTAAACGTAAGCAAAAGAAGGGTTAAAACACAAATTAAATCTGAAGAAAGAATGAAGACTGATGAATTTGTTCGCTAAGTATCAACGCCAAAGAGCAGCTGGAAGCACCTGATAATCTGATCCGCCACTCGGAAGACCAATTTCGAGAACACCGCGATTGTGAGTAGAAGGGCCACCACCCCGAAAATGTTTCCGTGAATCGACAAAGCTTTCGGCCGATGAGCCATTCGCGTACCGTGCTCTAAGTGAGGATCTGTTAGTGAATATCCTTAAAAAGAACAACTTTGGAAAGCCTATCCTACCTCTTTGCTGCTTCTAGTATTGCTCTGTAAAGCACGGGAACAGCCTTAATGTCGAGCAATCGCCCACCTGATATGTGGTCAACGTTGATATAAGCAACTGCGCTGGAATATTTACTTCGATTCAGAACTCGCACAATCCTCTTATGAAACGCCTACAAACTTTATGATAAGCAGCCATTAGAAGACAATTGCTATCATACCGTCTTTGAAGAATTCCAAGCCTTTGTTCTATCCACTCAGAAGAACCAATTAAACCAAACTCCTCAGCATCCCAATGGCAAAAAACCAGAGAACGCCTTGGTGGTGTTGAACGAAACACCTAGGATCATTGGGTTAACATAAGAAAGCTTAAACAATTATTGAAATTGCTCATCACCTCTGCCACTACTCTGGCTACCTCAAGTTGCACAGCAGTTCCAGAAATTGGATCAACGGCACCCTTAAATATAAAGTGATTGCAAAAACGTAATCCAACCCTTTCTAAACATTTTTCGTTCAATCTTCTTTTATTTTTTGACAATTTTTTTGCCGGATTTGTTTGTTAAATCGCTACTACTGGCATATAGTTTAACTTTGATAAGCCTCAAATGAAGAGTTCGTTTAAAATCACATTTCTAAATACAATTTTAACTTATTATTTACTGCCTACTGTTTTTAACGGCAGGGTATATTGCGAAATATAACTTTAATGATGCTGAAATATTTGCAAAACTTCGGACCGCCGGTGCTTGCGGTGGGGAACGAATCCCAATCCCGTTGACGGGTGATTGCTGAAGGCAAAAAGATCGATAGAACTAGCTGAGAGACGGGCGAAACGAGGGATCCGCATGGTGTGGTGGTGAACGCGTTACTCCCCGGAAAGGATAATAGCGCGTTCGTTCCCCACCGCAAGCACCTGCGGCCCGGAGTTGTGCAAATATCTCGGCATGATTAAAGTTATATTTCTAAATACAGTTTGCTTGAAAATTCATGACATAAAATGTGTTACAGCTAAGAGGATCGATAGACTAAAGTGGGTTTGGTTGCTGAATAGTCATTGCAGTAGTGATTTAGAATCCACTAACTCGTGTACGAGTGCTAAATTCGGTGAACCACCCGCTGACTGCGCTCGAAATTCCAACCACTAATGTCCATGTGACGTTCCACTGGTCTGGTAGTACCCCTTCCCAAATCAGGAAGACTAAAAAAACAAGAACTTCGAGATCAAAAGCGGAATCTGGGCATACTGCGCCTTTAGTGTTTCATTTTCAGAATAAATGATAAAAGAACAAGCTGAGCCGCGTTGATCAATCTTTTAGGCGCGGGTATTTTCTCGGCTCCACAAAACGTTTTACATCTTATTAAGTGCATAATTGGGTAAACAATGATATGAATTGGCTTACAGCCAGATGGATCAGGTTAAAGACCACGTATGTTAAACAGGACCTCTAAAAAGTGGGTTACACGTGCCCTTTTTTGAATACATCTATATCAGAGAAAGGACGTGAATCCGTTAGTGCTGTGACAGTAAGTCTGGTGTTTGCATGGAATAAGAATGGGGCTAAACAAAAGTAGGTAATTTAATTCATTTTTTCTCGGTTGTTGAGGTCACCTGGTTTTCTAAAATAGGTTGTTTTCATTTATGCAACACTGAAGAACTCTAGTTATAGTTTCGACTTTCAACATCGTTTTCACAACAGTGCTCATGAATTCTATGATTTTCGTTTGATCAGAAAGAAAGCGAATAAATATGGTTTTTGAATAGACCCACCTAATGGTGAAGAAAAGAATCAACTTGTTTGATCACTAGCATTTTTGATGTTAGTTTTTCATTAGGTCGAAAACGTGAACATAAATGGAAAACAACAAGGACCTTTCCCCAAGCGTCGATGTGGTTTCCTAGCATAATCCACCGATCCGGCTCTTCACTTCCCCTGAATGTGGCGATAATGTTTGTAATAGTTCCCTTCATAAACCTGTAAAGAAAACGTTTAGAAAATAGATTTGTCTAGTTTCGCTTAATAATATCGTAATAATTTTTGAGAGACCAGTGAACTCTCTTACTTAGGTGATTCCCAGCCAGTAAATTGCAAGGCTAGTTGCCTTGTTTCCAAGGGATATAAGCGACATATATCTTCATCCTCGTGTGCCGCAAAAATTTACCGCAGTCATACCTTTATTCCTTGTAAGCAGAAGGCGTTAAACCAGCTGATTCGACAGAGAGCTTGAAAACAGAGTGACTGAGAAGCAGACTGGGGGTAGTTTATTTCTTCTACGACTATGCCACAGCAACGGCTATGTTCACACTGGAAAGTCAATAAAATCTATCTGAGTATGTTCAAGCCTAAAGCGAGAAACTGCCAACAGTCAATGGGTATCTCCGGGTAAAAAGAGTGAACGCAAAGCGTCTCATGAAGTAGGCAAGAAAATAGGAAGCAATACAGTAGTTTTATGTGCGACGAAAACAAAGAATGCATAAGAATTTGAAGAACGATGGCAGCAGTCTATGCTTGCAACCTCTTAGCTCACTCCAGACTTGAAAATTAGACTGTGGTTATCGAAAGCCTCCATTGAGAGCCTTATATTCAAAGTTGAGAAGGCTATGTTCGATATCGTCGACCTAAGCGTGAGGAAAAGACGGTACCCAGTGATTGTGGCTGGTGATGTCGGAGAAAAATTGCCAGCTGGAACATGAGACAGAAAGATTGTTTTGTGTCTCTCCAATATTACTACCCTAGTTGACGTGACGATTGAGGACTGAAGTAAGCCAATGTTGGCTTTGAAAGCCCTCTTTTCCTCTATCTCTAAAATTTAATCTGACATTGTTTCTGCTTTAATACCTAAAAGTCTGGTTTCACTTTGTGACAAGGCTTTTTAAATGCAATGTAACTCATCACCAAAGACGGCGACCTCATCTTTCCCTCGTTGCCTTTATCTTTGTTTCTTTTCAAACAGTTGGTGAGTTACTCCAAAAAGACAAAGCTTTTAACATTGAGCTCAGTTCAGTCGAAAAAAAACCTGTAGCCTTTTCTAACATTATCTTAGTACAGCAGCAGTGCTTGATTCTCCTACTAATTATTCTTTCTTTGGACGAACCTTGACCTCACAGACAGTCGGAACCTTCGACTACTGTATAAACGATATGAACGCAGTCCACCAGTCCAATCTGATCGCTTGAATTAAATGATCGTTAATGACAAGAAAAAACGAGGTTCGTAAAAACATTCTTTGTAAAAGATTTTCGATAAATTTACCGTCACAAGTGGTCCGTCCATATAACTCATAATTCTCTGAGTGTCGTGGTAACTAATTGGAGTAACCGGAATGCTAGGCAGTAGTTCTTAAACAGTTCTTATTCCTCAATTAATTATGCTCATATTGCATTAATTTAGAAAACTATGACATGAATTCAACATGATTACTTTTTCTCCTCAGCGATGCTATGGTTTCGGTACGAGTTACGTAAGGAAGTGATGGTAGCAGAGGTGTTAGTGGATCACCTGGCATTCGACCGATGGAGCCGCGTTGAGCGGCTGAACCAGGAAGCGACATTGAATATGGGAAAGACTAAAAATAGCTTCTTGTTACCGGCTTCTTTCATTGATAAGCTGACATGTTGTTATAAAATCTTTTACTCAGCTGAAGAAACACCGCGATTAGACGGAAAAGTAAAATCATCTTTTTAATGGGAAAGTGAATCAGACAGTTGCTTCGCATCATGCTTCCTTCTTAGGGAAACAAATAAGGGGTGAAATAACTAAACGTTCGCCGTTGGTCACCCACTGTGGACGTACTGTGCATTGAGCACCATTTAGCATTGCAGAGGTCGTTCAGTGCATAATACCCAATTAAGTCACTGATTCTTATCCTCGGAGGCAAGGCTGCTACAAATGCGACGTTGATTTGAATTCAGGCGTTGGCCTGGCAAAATCCTTGATCTTACAGGGTTTAGCTAGGACCCAGCAGGACGAAAGGCTTAGTTAATTTTTAGTGCTGCGCAGGCGCTTCCACAAATTTACTGAGCAGTAGCTCATATTCAATTCACACACCTTGTTAGTGCTTGACGGTATATAAAAAGCTGGATCACTAAACAAAATTGCACCAATTGCTCCTCGTTTTTCTGCTTCAGCGACTTTTTCTGATCTCACCAGTGCACCATATCGCATTAGTACAATCGAACCATTAACATCTATTTCATTCTAGAACAAAACGCTGATTTAGTTGACATTCTCTGGATTCTGTAATCGGAGCTTTTCACAGTTTACACTTTCTTCATTTGTCTTATAACCTTGTATGCCTAATACCCTCTAGTCATTGAGCATTTCATAAACCTCCCTAACATAAAATAATAAATATAAACAACGCGAACAAACGCAGTTTTATAAAACAGTGTGTAACGTGGTTGTTAGCAGAGAGAAGTTCCCGTGCGTCAAAGCGGAACATTATTCAATAGTAGGACCACTTGCCACGGATCACCCTCACATTAGGGATCGCAAGCCGGTCAGTCGCGAGGCTACGTGGCGCGACCCCAGGTGACGGATAGAGGGTTATTCGCGGAGCAAAGTGATCTTTCCTTCTTTGAGACGCAGGAGGATCCAGACGATGGATTGCCCGTTTCTCCTACGCCGATTTGGCACATAATTTCTGTATTTCCTAGGCGTATTCATGCATGCGTGTGAGGATGCGTTCTTGCTTACGCGGATTGCATTCTACGAGTCAATTCGGCCAAAAGTCCGCAATCAAGTGAGAGGGAAGTATATCGGTTAGGAGGACTCTTAACAGGAGGCAAATAGGAGTCGCCTCCAACAAATAAGCTCCATGTCCACTCTGGGAGGACCTGGCAAGCTACCCGTGAGTATACCCAGCCCCCATGATCAGAGCCCAGTAAGCTACACGTGGCTATCAAAATACTAAACACAGTAAAAAAAAAAGGCCTCATTCCCCTGATCCCGAAGAAGCCCCCAAGCCCAATGTCTGTGAACACCGATTTATTCGAACAACTTACAACCCGAATCGGATGTTGACGATTAAAAAGATGTGGTTCAATACTTCCTTTGACAATCCTCGTCGTTTACGTGCCGACATCAAACTATGTCGAAGAAGAAGTCAAAGCATTCTATATGGACTTGGAGAAGTTCTACAGAGAAGACCATACATTCTTCAAGATCATCATTGGAGATTTCAACACCAAGATTGGACCAAGAACAACGTCTGAAGAACGTCACATTAGGACCCATAGATTGGAATGGAACGAACAGAGTGACCGGCTTTCTGAGATTATCATGGTGGCCAAGACAATCCATGGTAACTCAGAATTTCAGAAGCCCCACCCTCAGCGCTAGACGCTGGAGTCTCCCCATGGAGAGTACCATAACGAAATAGAACACATCATAATAAATAGAAGGCTTTGCCTAACCGTTGTCGCTTCGTCCCAAATTTCTACACGGCATCAGACCACCGTCTCCTTCGTGCGAGATTCTCTTTCTCGCGAAAAGGAGAAAAAGCCGCTATGTTGCAAAACCGAAGTCCCAAAACCACCGTAAACTGGGACTTATTCAATTCATTAGTCGGCTGTTGGGGAAGATGCTGTTGTCGATAACACCGACAAAGAATGCGATATGCTCATTCAGCATCCTCACGCTAGCTCTGTGAAAGCTGAAAGCATGAAATTCATCAGGAGACGTCTGTCTCCAGAAACACTCGAGCTGATACGCCGGCGTGGAAACGCACGGGCTGCAGGAAGCCGTGAACTGACGTCCGAACATGAAAAACAATGCAGACAGGCGATAAAAAAAGATCTTAAAAAGAGAAGAACAGCAGTAATGGCTGAAGCTGCAGAGGCTGGGAAAAGCATTAGCAAAGCCCACCGAAGCTTCACCAGTTACAAGACCAAGATCATTGCACTCCGGCGCCCAGACGGAACAGCAACAGCGTCCAGAAAAGGCAATGAAGAAAATCACTCGCTAGTAACGCTCAGATCTATTCGATAGCCACGTCCACCTTCCGTCATACGAAACAAAGGAGGATGGATATGTTGTATCACCGGTTCTTCCTTCCGAAATGCGACATGCCATTTCGTCGGTGAGAAATCGAAGAGCTCCAGGTTGGATAGGATAACACCCGAACACCTGAAGAACCTTTCCTTAGCCCTCGTAAACGCACTGGCTCGGCTCTTCACACGTTACCTCTCTGAATGCAAGGTCCCTACTCAGTGGAAGACCAGCAAGACCGTGTTTTTGTTCAAGAAGTGGGACCTGCACGATATCGGCAACTATCCCCAAATCTGCTTACTGTCTGTTGTCTACAAACTTTTCACTCGAGTTATTCTAAACAGGATTGGCAGAACGTTGGGCGAGGAACAGCCAGTGACCAAGCAGGGTTTCGAAAAGGATTTAGTGCGATGGACAACATCGACACGATAACAAGACTCATTGAAGTATCACGAGAGTACAAAAGGCAGATCGATCTACAGTAGTCTCTTGATTCAACTGAGATAGAAATAGTCATGGAAGCCCTTGATAGTCAAGGAGTCCCTACTCAGTCCATAAAGATTCTCCGTGAGCTGTACAAAAATTTCACAACCCAGATATCACCATTCCACAACGATATTAACATTGACGTCAAAAGAGCAGTTAGGCAAGGCGATACCATCTCGCCAAAATTATTTATCGCCACCCTGCAAAACGTCATGCGAACGTTGGAATAGGATAATATAGGTGTGAAAATCGACGGTCGGCAGTTGCATTATCTTCGCTTTGCTGATGACATCGTCCTTATAACACCAAACGTTATCCAGGTGGAACGTATGCTTGCAGACTTTGATAAAGCCTATGAAAACATTGGCCTTCGACTAAATCCCACAAAAACGATGTTCGTGAAGAACGGATTGGTTTCGCTTGTCCCATTCACGCTCAACGGTACGAATATCTTCGAATGCTCCAGTTGTATCTATCTAGGTCGGAAAATCAATATAATGAACGACTTAGCTCCAGCAGAAGGAAACATATAGCTTAGAGAGCTTTCAAGAGCATCAAGGATGTAGTGAAGAGGGCAAAGAGCACCCGACTCCGTGCCCAGCTTGTCGCCTCAACGGCACTTCCTACCAAAACGTATGCGACAGAATCCTGGTCGCTGCTTAAGCAGGATGAAAGACTCCTCAGCGTTGTTGAACGCGCGGTTGAAAAAAATGATGGTAGGAGTTTTCGAAATCACGCAAACGAGAGAAGGAATCCGAGCTCCGACCTGCATCAACGATCAAAAATCGAAGATGCCCCTCTGTACGCCAAACAGTCGAAGATCAGGTGAGCCGGACACGTAATGCATGACAACCGATGGACAAGAGCCGTTAGTGCCTGGATTCCTCGGGATGTTAAACGCACTGTAGAAAGACTGCCGACTCGATGGTCAGAGTTCTCCACGAAGAGCCTAGAAAAAAAATATGATGCTCGACGAGTGACTAGAACGAACAGAACCCACCGGGCAGCTCTTGCAGTCGAGGTGGAAAAATGGATGATTTATTGGCGCCCGCTCGAGTTACTAGACGATTAACGGGACTACAGGTGATACAGGTGATACAGGACCACTCGAGATATTAAACTCGGTATTTCCATCTGGGAAACGGCTATACCAAAGAAAAGCAGTGCCTGATACCCGCGGTTAGTTTTTCACCAAGAGCAGCAAAGACAAAGGGTTAGAGTTGGAGTTGTGATTCGCGTTGTGTTATTCCAATGACAAAGCTCACAGAACAACTCTGGAGCTAGAATGAAAAGAAGAGTTGCAAGTGCTACAGGAGTTTCAAATTAACTCTTGTGGCTGCGAAATGCGCAAAAAATTTCGAGAGAGCCAGAAAGGTGATGCGTGCCCAAAATTAACGAAGGTTCAGAGATTACCTTGAAAGGAATAAAGCTTTAAGGAGATGAATGTTGCGGAATCTCATACAAATGGAATGTTTCGTTGTTGATCTATTAAGTGTTCACTGGTATTTCGATCTGCATCACCAAAATGATTTCGTTTTCCAATTCACCACTCTTAAAGGCTAATGCGCATCCGTTGAGTCATTAATACAGACGAACTTCTTCATTGTTTACGGTAATGTGAGAACTTTAAAGCATCACCGATTTGACTACAATTTTGTGTTAAGAAACAAGTGAGGAGAATTTCGGTGTTCATTCTGACGAAGATTCGAAATGAAAAAACTGGTAGTGTGTCTGGAATGCCAATTCTTGTGTGAGAAGCATAAGGGAAAAAGAAACTAGAAACTGTAAAATTCGACAATTACCTCTTCTAGAGTCTTAAAATCTTCTGGAGCCCCAAAATTGCAATACACAATGCGTCCTTCAACCGAACCATCCGCTGAGTATGCGTTCCACCACACCTCAGATCGGCCGTCTACTTGCTGAAATCCTGTCATATCCTTATTCCTGTTTTTTTTTATGCTATGGTTTGAATAATTTGTAAACAAGAACTATCTAGGTATCCATAGAGCCGCGGAAGTTTTTTTCTTCAGTTTTTCGCAAGGCACCTTTTATGGCAAACTACGCTCTGATACACTCAGCTTTGTGGGTGATAACTGATCGTGATGAACGATACTGATGAAAGCAACGTTGAGAGAATTATTTCCGTATTGAAATGAACATTAACAATGAGATCATAGAATACCAGGGAAAGAGAGGAATATGTATTTTTAGGTTATTTTGTTGGCTCCATGATTTTCAGAGTTTGCTGTTTTATTTATACGCTTTTAAAAGATATGAAGGATAAAAAGCTCTCGGTGTTGATCAATCTCTCTGGAATGCTCCATGTGTTCGGCTTCATTAAGCATCGTTGGAGGTGACTCAATGGATATCTGGCCTTTACAAAGACTAGTATTGGCCCACCAATGTATCAAACCAGTGTTGCTAACCTTTCAGGCAAATCTGGAACCAATTCGCCGACCACGGAAAGATAGAAGGGTTGGTAAGCCACGGGCGCGAGAATCGATCTCATGTGTGTATCTATTGCAAGGCTCCTCCGACCACTGGGCCACACGCGCCCTTTTTAAAGGTGTACTAAACTCAATCACCACATCTTTCGTTTATTTCGGATTTCTCAGCAATCACATTCTAGAAATAGCTCGAAATTTTTTAGAACTCACAGTATTGTGTTCTGCTGAAAAAAATTTACCTTTTTTGTCGTATAGTTTTAAGGGATGTTTCCTGTTCTCACGTGTTCGGTACTGGTTTGAAGTGCAACGCAATACACCTGGATTCAATGCCACGTCCTAAGCTCACCAAGATTTCCATGCCCCGTGGTTGGCAAATTAGTACCAGACCAGTCTGCGAGGCTAACACCTTTGGTTTGATACAGGGTAGCGCAGTGGCTAAGGTAAACTGCGATACACTTGGTTCTTGCTTCGATCTTACCCACTGTGCAAACTAGGCCTACCACCCTACTGATACCGGTAACACTAGTCTTGTCTGGAACTACAGCGCATGTAGCGCAGTGGTTAGAGGAGCCCTACAGTACATCTGGGTTCGATCCCGCCTCCAGGTTAACCAGACCCTCCATCTTTCCGGCTTCGGCAAAGGTACTACCACTTGTCTGAGAAGATAGCACTGCTGCCTCGATACATCGGCGGGCCATCGCGATTTGTTTTACAGGGCGCACTGAATTCAATCACCTCTAACGATGTTTAATAAAGTGGAATGCATAGCGCATCACTCAAGGATTGATCAAAGCCGAGAGCTTTATCCTTTGTCGTTTATGCTTACTGTTTGCTGTTTATTTTAACGCCCACTCTTTTGCTCTTAACACAGGATAGTTTTTTCTTCCAAGAAGGGGCTCTATTTATAAGGGATGCTCTTAAATTCCGACGAATACAAGCAAAATTAAAAACGGTAAGTGCTACTTAAAAGACTAAAGTTTGTTCACAGACTTTTTATAGAGAGTGCGGATTTATCAGATTGTTACGATACAAAAAGTGCTAAAATGCTACATTTCCTTTCCCGTTTTGACGCCGATTGCGAATAACAGACAGCATTTGTCATTTCTCTAGAGAGAAGTGTGATTTGGTATGCAACATTAAGCTGACGACAAAACGACCTCATTGACGGCTCGCCGAGGTCCTCGGGGATGGCCGCGGCCGCGACTCAACCGCCACCACGTGCCACCATTCTTTTCCACCATCACCGTATTTGCGTTCTCGAAATCCGGATAGTTCAGCAGCACAGTATAGTTGTAGGTGTCCACAGTGAAGCCGAGCTTTCTGTACTGAAATATATAAAGACACTAAAAATCTTGAAGAACTAAAGTGTTATATGCAGAAAGTAACATAAAAGAACTGCTCTATATAAAGTCGATGCACTCTCCAAGCCGTTTTAGTATGTGAATTGGCATAAAAGGAATTGTGCAAGGTCTCAGCAAAACACGGGTTAGCACGAAATTTGGTGAAGACGATGACAGGCCAACCGGCAAACAACAAAGTAGTGAGATTGTTTACAGTTTTAGTGAAGCAAATTTCTTTTCCTCTATCCTAGGCAATCCTTTGCAGCAGATATTTTTTCTCAGTGATATTTTTTGTTTATGATAGACAAAGGCAGACTAGTAGATTTCCTTGAAATTTACTACTCGTCATGATAGACATGCGTAGAGGTTACGAATAGGTCGAATAGGGAATAATTTTTAAAGAAACCAGAAAAACGTTAGAAAAAGCACAAAAGCATAAAATATGGTAAATATGTTAGATTAGCGCTGTATTAAAAGAGTAGACAGAGAGTAAAGCAGCAAAAAGCAAAATAAAAAAACTTGAATGCACCTCATCGGCTATGCGTCGAATAAGCGCTAAATTTTCGACAGTTCCAGAAATATGTGAAGTCTCCGCCATCCACCTAACGTTTTGTTTAATTCGTTTCGGATCGAATTTGGATGCCAACTCTTTCGAAATACGATCAAGCTGAAATAAAGAGAGAACTTCAATTAGTAATAAAAAATTTTTTGGCCGGTTTATTAACACTCTGCCGTTTTTTTTACTAAACAGACACGACGCTGTTATTGCAGTATTTATTAACAACAATTGTCGTTTCAGCGGTTTCGCCTACTTCAGAGTTTGGTTAGCAATGGACGAATTGATACGCAATATTCTCAGCAAAGGCCTTTTCTAATCTCCACAAATGAAGCCCAATACATAAACTCTTGTACTTCATCTGTAGGAAATGTTTCCTTTAGGTAGCGAACACTTCCAATCTCTTCATAGAGTGGAGCCGGTGTAGCACAGTAGTTAGAGGTACACGAGGATTCACCAATCTCTGCATTTCTTCTCGCTCCACGAATTGCTACTAGAATTGTGTGAGAGGATAGTAGCACTTATTTTACACACCGGAAGTTCACGCGACTTACTACATAAGTATATGAGATGCACATATGAATTCTTCATGATGCCATGAAAGGAGTCGAGTAGATTGCAAACCTCTGTGGGATTTATTAAGTCCAAACACGTAAAAGAGCCATTTCTGTTTACCATTAATACCAATCCTTGAACTTATGTTCATTCGACCTCGTACAAATTCAAGATCCCTTCAACATGTTAAGACTTCGTAAGTTCAAGCAAGTTTTGCTCCTCAGAAACAATTTTGCCCTACGTTTCAAACGTCCAGTTCCTCTGATCGCCTTTTTGTTTGCTTCTAGGTAAGAGGTTACAAAAGTTACGAATTAAAATCTACATCTACCTACCTCTTATCAAACCCCATAGGTGATTTGTCAAATGTTGGAAGCTGCAGAACGCCCTCTATAAAAAAAACAATCTTCTCTAAATTAAAAAAAATTACAGTTATATTTTTCTCACACCAGCCGCAGAACGTTTCTGCCCGACACATAAAAGCTAAAAAAGCTCTCGCCGTTGATCAATCCCTGAGAGATGCACCATGCATTCGACTCAATTGTGCATCGTCTGGAGGTGATTTAATGCATATCTGGCCTTTAAAATGACTTCTGGTGCTCTACCGATGTATCGAGCCAGTGCTGCTATCCTCCCAGATAAGTCTGGTACCAATTTTCCGACCCCGAAGGTATGGAACTCTTGTTGGGCCATGGGCGCGGGGATCGATTCCACATGTGTGTCGCAGTGGCACATCCAACCACTGCGCCCAACACATATAATCGTTTAATAAGGCTGGATCACCAATTGGATAACCTGTAAACATAGTAACTATACTTTGTATTCCTTTACAGTTATTAATTTAATGAACATCTAATAGCTGAAATTTGAGGTCTGAGTTAGGTGCATTACAACTAAAAGCCTCTTAGAAACATGGCGGAGACAATGACATCATCTTCACTGCTCACTGCATCATTAGGTAGAAATCATATCACAATATTAACTTTTTATTTACTGCCTCCTACAAGTTTATACTGCAAGGCATTATTAGTGAAGCAACAACAATGATGCTGAGATATTTGCAAAGCTCCAGATCCAGACAGCAGGTGTCTGCGGTGGGGAACGAACGCGCTATTACCCTTTCCGGGGGCTAACGCGTTCACCACCACACCATGTGAGCCCTTCGCATCAGAAATCATATCCGTTAGTTGGGTGTTGACCAATTCGGGCACACTACCGATATTTGAGTTTGTTGGCTCAAAATATTAGGCCACGAAAATTCACATGTTAGCAATATATCAAAACCGACTCTCTTTTAACATCGGCATGACTAAGCAACATTTTTAAAAACTGTTGAGCTTCCACGAGGTTGTTATACAACTTTTATTCGGCTAACGGTTCCGACGTCTTCGTCTTCATCAAAACCGATGATATAAGTCGTTGATCACTGTTACACGTTACCCTACGATAAAAACACTATCCCTATGTATACAAACGCAGGATTAAATTTGTTCAGTTTTTTGCTTCGATCCTTACTCACCTCTTTACAAGCCTGCTGAATTTCTTCAACCTCCTGTTTTTCGTTGCTAAAAGGGACTTCTGACACTCTCAAGATATAAAAAACTTTCCAGGAAATGTTTGTTTAATGCTGAAAGTACTCGTGGAGTGTCTTCCCAATTAAACGGCCTAGACGGGCACCTCTCTCGAGTCAAGCATTGTCTTTGAGAATATTAGTTCATTTCGTTGCATAGCCAGCTATTAAATTTGTCGTATCACGTCTTAGTGTCGTCGTGCATAAGAATCATTGTCACACGGATGAGTTTGACCAGCAGCTCCTTTCACAGCCTCAAGAAGAGATACACGATATCTATTAAGAGGCCGCTGTTGTATACTTGCAGGGTTAACCCACTGAATAACTGACTTGAATCCACATTGCTTCTTCGACATTCTTCATTTCTTCGACGAATGGGCTAGCCAAATTTTGCTTCATAGTTATGTTAAAAGCAATTTCTACCCACTCTTGTAGATTTATACGAAAGTAATATTCGTAGCGGCGTCTAATTTTGGCCTGTCATGTCCGTTGACCAAAGCATATGTGGTTGAAGCAGACACGTCTGATACCAATTTTCTCATGAAGAATGAATAAAAGGCTTGAAGAGCCCTGGTGAAGGAGCGAACCAGGGGTCGATTCAGTGTGTATTCCAAAGCACCTCTAATCACTGCGTTCCACGCGTGTGTGCATGCGCATCGGTCGGGAGCGTTTCGTCAGTTACAGCACAGATGGAAAGGTACGAAAGAAACTCCAGCAGCATCTCTTAACTGCACTAACCGTTTTTTACAAAAACTAAAAAAGCTCAGAGTTGTCAAAGTTGTGAAAGCTTCGAAATTTAGAACCACATGTTTCCAACTGTCTACAGCGGAGCTAATTTTCAGTGCTAAGGAATTTTTAAAAAGTTGTCTTAAGTAATAGAAAATCTGGTGAGTATAGTTGAAAAATTCGTCTTATAAATCTGTCAACCATCCTTTTAAAATCGTAAATCAGAAGTCGAACAGCAGTTGAAACCACTACTGTAACATCAGCATGAAAGGAAACCAGCCTATTCAGAAAGAATAAGAATTGTTCAAAAAATACGCAAGCAGAGTTTTTAAAATTTAAAACCAAAATGGCCTCATATATTTACCAAATGCCGTACCTCTTTCGGATTTTCTTTTAACATGACTGAAGTCGGAGATGAAGGCGATTCGCACGATTTCAATCTCATCAGTGAGCACGCCAAAACTAGAAGTATGCTGACAGTCGCAAGTATACCGAACAATGATGCACTGAAGGCCACTGGTAACCAGTGTTCACGATGAAAATATATTCTCCTGTAAATAAGATCTTGTGTATAGTAAAGCCGTTCACGAGCTACACCAGATATTGTAATTTTAATGCCTTTCGTCACATCTTTCGTTCTGTGCTGTATTTGAATTATGCGCCCCTCTTGTAATCTGGATTCCCGCTTCCACCAGGCGAAGCGATTTTCTTGTATTCCCAATTGTGAGGCAAATCAGATTACAAATAAAACCCGGATTTAAATAAGGCTGAGAGGAGTTCGACGTTAATGTGGACGTTTGCAGAAAAGCCATGAAGAAGTAACACCATAGGAAAGCAAAGACACTGTCCTGAACAGATTCTAGTTCCACGATAGTAGTGAGAGCTTACCGTTGTTATACAGCAACAATTTAACGAATATTTTAAGGCCATGCATGAAGAGAATTACTCAACTGAAATTAGGATCATTAACATCTTGAACCAAAGAAATTGTTTCTGGAAAGCTGAAATGTTCTTTGATGGTCCAACCGAAGAAATTTTCGCATTGCTTTGCGCAATCGGGATTCCTTTTACTTGGCCGTTCCCGAACACTGAACCGAATGGTCACAGCACTCGCACCTTTGAGGGGCTGCTGCTATCGTCTTGGAGAAATCCCAATCGCAAAAGAATAAGTTTCTCTCCGTTACACAAATGCTAGCGGTTGCATACAGCGAACGTGTAGTGATAAGGTAAGACGCTTGTGGATGGCTACCTTGAGTTCCCATGAGGAATTGAATTCATGAATGACTAGCAATCAGGATGGCGATGAGAGCAGGAGACCACAAAGCCTAGAGTGCAGCCAAATCCATATCTAAACCTAATCGAAGACCGTGTACTAAGGTTGCATGTAAACGAAACTACTGGAAGAAGAGCCAGAACACAAAGAAAATGTGAAAGCGGAACATTTACATTTCTTTGCATCTCGTGTTTAAGAGAAGAAAGTTGAAAAACTTTATTAATTATGAAGCGAACACTTCGTCAAACACCCTCATTGGTGGAATATTTTCCCTACAGATATTCTTAACGGATATATTGATTACCAGATATTTTACAAAAAGTGGGATTAGATTAGAATAATAAAAATGATAAAGGATAAAGCTCTCAGCATTGATCAATCCCTGAGAGATGGGTCAAGCACTCGATTTCATCAAGGATCGTTTGGAGCTGAATGAATGCATATTTGGTCTTTACAATGACTCCCGGTGGCCTGCCGATGTGTTGAGCCAGTGCTGCAATCCTCCCATATAAGTTTGGTACCAATTTGCCGAAGCCGAAGCCGAAGGGATGAAAGGTTTGGTTGGCCATGGGCACGGGGATCGATTCCATGTGTGTGTTGGAGGGCGCCTTCAACCACTGTGCTACAAGCTCCCTAGATTAGAATTATGGGGAGAAAAAATGAAAATGTGTTTTGTGGAACATCAATCTCATGATTTCAAACATTATCACAAATAACTGTTAACTATTTTATGAATAGCAAGTAATGTCTAGTAGTGAGCAATTTCTGTGAGGAACATACTTGCTTTTGATTAAGGACGATCGTGATGAACAAAATGAATTTTGACCGTTAGTTGAGACGACGTAGTCGCCGAGAAGTTGTTCTTTGGCGAAAAGGTCGTCGATCGACGAAAACTGCGTCGCCGCTGACGGCATCTTTCCGGATGGGAGTGCGAGAACGTTGATGGTTAAATTATTGGTTGATCGAACGAACAGTTTTTTTTATGTACGAAGTTTTCGGCTGGTCGATGACATCTGAATACGATTAATTCACCACGATCATATAACGTATTCGATTAGCAGAAACGAGAGAATCAACAGAAAAACGTTCACTGATTGTACTAAAAAGAGGTCGTCTTTCGGATAAAGGAGAGCAGTGAGGAGAAATAGTGCGAAAAATAGGAATATGAAAAAATCCCTTCCCTTAATTTCTAAAATTTGACATTTTTTATGAGTGGCGTTTTCACTTGAAGAATGAGGCCTATTGAAAGATGTTATCTAAGAAAACAAACAGAAAAGCTGTAGACGACCTTCAGAGTATGTAAAATTTTTTTCATCTCAAATACTGGAGAAGTAGGGTTTTGCTTTTAGAAAAAATGGTGTATCTTTTCTAATGTTACTGTTATTGTTGTACTTTACACTGCTATCTTCGTTTTAAGTGGATACTTACTTGGACGGCCCGTCCTCACTAATTGAGCAGACTAGCACACTCTCCACTTTTCGGAGCTCCGCTGGTCTAGCCACTGCGTCTAACTGGAGTCCCGAGGTCAGCCTGACTGAGGTCTGCCTCAGGTTGTCACCACCACAGACAATCATCTCCCTTGTGGATCAGAGGGAGATTTTTCACCATGCGATTAGCTTGGTACCAGGACGGACCCTGGTATTGGTTTACTCACAGCTAGGTTTCCTGATGGAAACGCCGGTCTCTTTCCCAGCTTGGGAGAACCTGGCAGAGTAACGAATCCTCCGTTGGAAACCGCAGCCAAACACCCAGAAACACCTACCAGCCACGAGGAGGCGTTTGGATGGTTTTTATTTTATTTATCAAATTTTAATTAGTTTTGGAATATTTTTCAGAAATCATCTTTCGAACTGTTGAAGGAAACGGTTCACTTAATAATCGTTAATTGTTTTCGCTCATTAATCAATATGCTGTAAGAAATAAGTTTTAACACTTTAAATAGGAAGGCTGGTGATCTATTATTGAGGGAACAACCGCTAACTGTTAGATATTAAAAAAGAGAGAAACATTATTTTTTCTTCGAAAATATACAAATGAAGAGCTTTAATTTCAGAAAGACTACCAGGTGATCAGCATGGAACTACAGTAATCATTGCCGCTGATCTCACAACAGTACTGTAGCTCTTGCAACTGTTACAACATTCCGCACAATAACAGCATGACTACTGCACATTTCTTAAAAAATTTTTCCTTCTTCCTTCTTTCAAAGTACAGTGTTGCGAGAAATGATGTTTATGAACAATTTAAGAACTCGACAGAATGAAAGGCAATGCTGTACTAAGACCATCCAAGACCTCTCTGGAAATCTTTACAATGAGTTTTTCAATTTTTCTTTTTCGTAAGCAAAATTTGGTTTGTGATATGCAAGCTCATAAAAAATGGAGAAGTGGCCTTCGTGGGAAGAATTATTTGCACATCCTCGTAATATATTCAACACAAACTCAAACGTTTGTCGTTTCGTTTGAAATCGTTAACACGTATTCAATGACAAAAATAGCAACCGAGATGTTGTGGCTATGCCACTCTTTCGCTTTTGTAACGAAGGCTTCTAGAATAAAATGTAACTAGAATGTAACTTCTAGAATAAAAAATGCCCTTCATTTCTGGAGAGATTCTGCGTGTGGTTGGTTGTGGTATGTGGTTGGTTATCTCATTCGACTTCAATATTAGATATGTACGCGTCTAATTTTTTGTTCAGACTACTCGCTGAATGCAGTATGATCTTCAGTGAAAAGAGAACAAGATAGCTATTAATGCCTAAAAGCTTTAAAAAGCTTTCAACGTTGATCAATCCCAGAAGGATGCGCCATGCATTCGACTTCATTAACCATCGTTTGGAGGTAATTGAATGCAAAACTAGCCCTCAAAATAATCGCGGCGGCCTACAGGTGAATCGACCCAGTGCTGTTATCCTCCCAGACAAGTCTGGTACCAATTGGCGGACCCCGGAGGGATGGAAGGCTAGACGGGCCGTGGACGTGTGGATCGATTCCACGTGTGTCTTGCAGGGCGCCCCCGACCACTGCGCTACACACGCCCCTTATGTTAATGCCTAACAGCAAACCATGAAGCTTTTCAACACATAATAGTTTGATAGAATAAGAAGAAACTAAAAGTGGATCTAACGATAAGAGTACTGTTGTGCTTCAGCAGTTAAATGCAACAATCTTTTTCTTCTAAAAGTTAACGATTGAAAATGGAGAAATTTCATTCTTAGCCCTTTACTTACTCATTTGCTCAGTAATTTCAAATTCCGCTTTATGGAGCGTTTATAGTTCTTGAGATATATAAACCTAGCGTAGAAAAAGGGTATGTGTGGCGCATTAGTCGGAGGCGGGCTGCAACTCACACGTGGAATCGTTTCCCGCGCCCATGTCTCACTAAGTCTATCCTCTCTAAGGGGTCGGCAAATTGGTACCAGACTTGCGTGGGAGGATAGCAGCACTGGCACGATACATCGGTAGGCCACCGCGAGTCACTGTATAGGCCAGTTATGCATTCAATCGCATACAAACGATACTTAGTGAAGTCGAATACATGGCGCATCTCTCAGCGATTGACCAACGCCGGGAGCTTTATCTTTTTTATTTTATTTAAAACGTAGAAAAAACAACTGGAAAGTGCAAGTGCTTCTAAGATGGTGAAAACGCAAAGAACTCTAACCAAAAAGGCTACTGTAAGAAGGATGGAAAGAAAAACGATTGGACTGTTCTTTCGCCACATCTGCATTCACATCTCTAACAGAATCTACTGAAATACTTTTTCTTCAATGATACCGTAAAAATGGGAAAAACCCAGTTATGCTCGACTTTATGACACATCTGTGATTCAGAGCAAAATGCTAACATTGAATGCGATTAAATCGGCGACGAGTCAACAGTTTTTTTTTATAGACATTTGCTCGAGATGAGACATCACCGTATGAAAATTCGCAAAATGATCAAAATCAAAGCAGACTGAGAACAAACAAATAGCTTCAATATTGTGCCATATTATTATTACAACATTAAATTATACTTCATTATTACTATTACATTGTATTATTATACTGTAGCTACACCACACTAATACCTAATCTACACTTTTCTTTCATAACACAGTCCCATCTTTGTTTTCGATGAAAAGAACAAAGATATCCTGAATTTTTTTTATGTATTCGCGCTTTTATCGTCCATGAACGTTTACATATAAAGTGAAAGAGCTTCGACTGCAGTTCTGAGTAATGCTAGTTTGACGATTGGGAAGGCTGGCGATCGTAATTGTCTTAGATTTTAAAACGATATGGATGCAAACAAGCGCGGAGGTCAACTTATACTCCATAACTATTAAAAATTGCTCTTTCACTTGTAGATATTATAGAAGCAACATGCCTGCTCTTATCTCGAAAAAACGAAACAAGAACAACTGAAGATTCATTCGCCCCAGCAAATTTAGATTATACATGCACTTATGAATGTTTTGTTCTCGATCCACAGTGGCCTCAATTAATGAAAAATCTGTGAAGAAAAAGCCAAATGACCTCAGCAAATGACATGAGAATCATGAAAAGAAACGTCATTAGCATTGATGAAAGGAGACAGAGTAGGAGAGAGATAGACAGAGAGCGTGATAGGGACAGAGGAGAAGAGGGAGACGATTGTGAAGAAGAGCTAGAACGAGAAGTGGGAAATGAAAAAGAAGAGGATGATGATTATGAGAAAGAAGAAGAAAATAACACCATGTGCAGTGGTGACTGGATGCGTTCTACTAACGTTTGCATGTTTTGAGCTGACGGAAGGACAGAAACGCTTTCAACATTCCTGACATCGCCGACTAGTGTAAGCATTTCATTGTTTAGAAAATATTGCCAACCCAGAAAAAATTGATAATTTACCTGCCTGTTACTGAGTTATTCATTTCTCTCATTGACTATTTTTATTGATAGTCTTCGTTGTGATTCGCCTGGAACTTCGCAAAGAGTATTCGGAGCATTTCCTGTTGAAGTATTAAGAGAAGTATTCTAGAAGGGATCAAAGAACACTCTCAAAATGCTGCGGACTCACAGGCGTATAGGTTACAAAAAAAAGAAGACTTCTTTTTCTCATTACCGTTCGTCGACATAAGCGGCTTGAAAGGAATTTCATTGCAAAAATCCAAAATAAAATGAAGAGAGTGCAGTAAAAAAAAATTTGGTTCATGAAGACCGTGATCAGAGTGGAAAAATTTCCGAACCTGGAACATATGAAGTTCCTGTGGTAATCCAAATCGGCTAGACCTGCTGTTACCGAACTTCTGGCCAATATACTGCTTCGAAGTATATGCAGGCATATATGCATGTACGTGTATATTTATACATATGTACAGGCGCACGTCTATATATACATTAAAGTGCAAAAATTAAGACCCCATAAGTCATTTTAAAGCTGGAAGTCTTTTTTTTTTGGAAAACGAGCAAGTATTTTTTTTCAAATATTCCCACAAGTATTCCTTCAATTGTACAAGTATTCCTCCCAACGCTTCACCGCCTCACCGTGGCTGAGAGGTGCTCTTGGGTGTCGGACTGCGATGTACAACGGGGGATTCGTCCCCGCAGCAGGGTCTCCCAAGTTGAGAAGGAGCCCGGCATTTCCATCAGGAAGCCCAGCTAAGAGTACACCTATACCAGTATCCACTACCGTCCTAGTACAAAATTAGTCTCTAAACAGGCAAAACTCCGAAATAATGGGAATTATCCTGGGGTTCGCACAACCAGTGAAGATGCGCCAACCCAGTATCCAAATTCTCACGTATAAGTACTAGAAGAGCTCTTGAAACAAAACACTCAACGGCAATTTATTGCAGGGTTAGGAAAATGTTAAAATTTTCAACCACAATCACTTAGTTGATAACAAAAATTTGTTTAGTTACATAGTAGTTATATTAAGGGCTTTTGATA